CTTCATGTGAAGAAACTCATCTCGACATCAATGACAACCAACCTCCAGTTGTGGATTAACAAACCCACCTACACCAAGTAACTACCTCCGACAGTATTGGCGATCATTTCACTTCCAATATGATGCTCACTACATATCAGGACCAACATCTCCAATACACCAGTTCATCTCCTATTCAAGACCTCTATGGTGATTTCAAGAAATACAAAACAAAACACAAAAAAAAAACGAACTCAAAGTGGACACCGCCCATTGGAACATTCACAAGCTTAGATGCTACTAATCTAATTGTTAGTTATCCCAGAATATTACCTCCTCCCTAAGATTCATAAACCAGGGAACCCTGGTCGCCCATTTATTTCCGTCTGTAACTGCCCCATCGAATTAATTTCTTCTTTCCTTGATGACATCCTTAAGCCCATCGTCTCGTCTCCTCTTAGTTGCTTAAAAGACACGACACATGCACTCCGAACTTTCAACAACTTTCAATTCCTTGGTAGTGAACAGTATATATTCACCATGGACATACAAACACTCTACACATCAATTCCCCATAACGATAGTATGAAAGCCCTCAAACGTTACCTGGATCTGAGTATTTCACTACCCCCCCCCCCCCCACACACACACATACTCTCCTACGTCTTGCCGAACTTGGATTAACCCTGAACGGATTCTCCTTTATTGACAAGTTTTATCAACAAACAAAAGATATTGCTATGAGAACTAAAATGGGCTTTTCTTATGATTCATTGTTTGTTGGTTACATTGAGAATCAGATTTTCTCCACTTATCAAGGAACACTTCCTACTTTTTACAAACGTTATATTGATGACATTGTTGGTGCAACCAGCACAACCTTGTGTGACATAAATCATTTTTTACACTTCGTTTCCTCCTTCCATCCATGCCCCCCAGTGGCACAGCGGTATGTCTGCGGACTTACAACGCTAGAAACCGGGTTTCGATACCCGTGGTGGGCAGAGCACAGATAGCCCTTGTGTAGCTTTGTGCATAATTAAAAACAAACAAACAAACCTTCCATCCAGCGCTTACCTTCACATGAACAGTTTCATCAAAAAGCTTACACTTTTTCGACATTCTCATCTCCATTAAACATTGTCATTTATCGACTTCAGTACATTAAAAACCCACCGGTTCCCATTCTTACCTCCGCTACGACTCTTCCCTTCCCCATCATACGTTTCAGTCTCTTCCATATTCCCAATTCCTAAGACTGCGCAGACTCTGCAGTGAACAAACTGATTACGAGTCGAAATCTGAAGATATCAAACGGTTTACTTATCAGTCGTTTCTACCTCAAGTCTTTAATAGAAAAGCCGCCCAACGCGCCCATTCTGTAACTCGACAATACACCCTAACACCTAAATCCAAGTCTACAAACTCTCGAAGATCACTTATCATTACTTACCATCCTAATACCTCTAAAGTTGCCCAAATCATCAAACAGAACTTCAACATCCTCACTGACGACCCCATAACTTCCAAAATTTTTAAAGACCCCCACTTGTCAGTTACAGACATGATAAAAGTATAAAAAACATTTTAGTCCACAGTGTCATCCAGAAACCTAACCCTAGTGTGAACCCGGGTACAACCTATTGTCACAGAAAGAAATGCGTCACCTGCCAATATGTTAACGCCACAACATCCATATCTGGCTCCCATGGGAAATTTCAAATACGACAATCATTCACTTGCATTTCATCAATCCTGATATAATGTGTGTGCTGTAAAAAGTGCAGCATGCTATACTTTGGTCAAACGGGTCGCCGCTTAGCGGATCGTTCACGTGAACACCTTTCTTATATAAAAAATAATGACAAAATCCACAGGTAGACACTTTAATAACCCTTCACATTGTATGTCTGACTTCTCCATACTTGGACTCACATTTGCTCCATTCACTGCAACTCAAAGAGAACGCCTGGAAAAAAGTTTGATTTTAGGCACTGTTAATCTCTTTGGAATGAATGAAGAGTTCTCTTTCCTTTAACTTTATCTTTCCCATTTCCCCGCCCTACACTTTTTATACACTTTTTCACACTAACATTTAGTGGATAAAACCTTTTCGTTCAATGTTCGCACTCTTTTTCCTCTCTAGCCCGTTCACTTCAGTCACCCACTTTTGTTACCTTTATATTCATTTCTTTTCACCGTCGTTCTTCACTTCTATTTAGTTCACATGCTTTCTGTTGTTGTATCCCTTTGAACAATATTACCCAATGCACGTTTTCATTCATTTTCTTACATTGTTGCGTGTATTTTTGTTCTACGTTTCTTTTTTTTTAGTTGTTTATTTACTACGATTAACTTTATTCATACACTTTTTATACTTTTATTATTACATTATTATTTTTATTTTATATGTTACTTCCCTTACCTCATTTGTAGCTTCAGGAACATGTTCTCGAGCCTTCGAGCCACGTGTTATTTGGTCTTTCAACCTAACCCTTATATTAACAGTTTCATTGCCACTGGTAACCGGATTAAGGGCTGTTGCCCGTAATGTCGTTTTCTTGTTTTATTAATAAAGTTATTTTAATATGGCGAGTTTTTACAACTACTTTATATTCCATTTTAATAATACAGTAAATTGATGCACGGATAATTTTAGAAATATAGTATACATCTTGATTCACTGATAATTTTAATAATATGGTATATATATCTGTATGTATTGATCATTTTTAATAATATTTGGACGTGCTGATAAAATCTGATAATATCGTTGTTGAAAATAATGATACTATGAATCATTGTAAGTTTGAGAAAAGCAAAACTCAGTAAACCCTGTGTTTGATAGCGTTTTAATTGGCGAAAACGACACAGGAATATTGGAATCAATTCTAAAGAATTATCCGAAAGAAAAATTTAACACTTTTGTTTGTCGACTAGCTGTAATCAGCACTGTAGGACATGATAGATTGTTTCAGAATTTTACGTAAACCTACTCAAGGACTATTTGTGCATTTACGTAAAGTTACACAAAAGCTATTTGTGCTTTCAAGTAAAGTCACACAAAGGCTATCTGCGCTTTCGCGAAGAGCTACACAAGTACTGTCTGTGTATTTATATAAAGCGACACAAGTACCATGTGCATTCACGTAAAGTTACACTAGGACTATCTGTACAATCACATACAGATACACAAGGACTATTTGTAGAGCCACGTACAGATACACAAGGATTATCTGTGTATTTACATAAAGCGACACAAGGACTATGTGCATTCACGTACAGATACAAAAGGACTATTTGTGCAGAGCCATTCCTAATTTTTAACTGATAGGCTACAGGAAGGGCAACTGCTACTACTCAACATTACTTCAGTTACTCTGGTCTGACTAAATAGTGGGATTTTACGGTCGCTCTTACAACGCACACAGGATCGACTCCAAAATGTGGAACAACTTTTTGCGGCAACTATAGCAGAGCTATGAATCATCAGATTCACATTCTAGAATGTTAACTACTCGTTTCCAGCTTGAAAATTACCTCTGATAAAAGTCTTACAATGTTATCTGTGACACCATGGGAATATTTTCTGTTCACATCTTTTGAATTTGTTTATGTTGCCAAAAATAGATAGAAATGTATTATACTTTTACGCGTGAAAACACTGCATTTAATACGAATAAACGAAGCATGAATTTCAAGAAAACTTTTAAAATAACAGTTTCGCATTTTAGCCAAGTGATTTTTTGTTTCTCTAAATTGCATCATTTCTGATGGGGCAACAGGCCCGGTGTACCCGAGGGTAGTTATCACACATATATATATTAGTTTCTATGGTTAGCGTGCCGAGCGTGGCCAAGTAGTTGGTATGTCTAAATATGGATCTGCGAAAGTTCGGCACTAGTGGACCGTGACTGTATTAAAAGGGTGATGGTCAAATTCCACTGTTCGGTCAGATAAGACTACCTCAAGATGCTGTGACTAGCTACCTTCCCTTCAGTTTAGACCTGTCATAGCATGGTTGTTAGGGTACTCGACTCACAGTCTGTGGGTCGCGGGATTGAAACTCAACACTGAACTTGCTCGCCCTCTCAGCCGTGGGGACATTATAATGTGACGTTCAGTCCTACTCGTCCTTGGTACAGAGCAGCCCAAGAGTTGGCGATGGGTGCTTTCAACTGGTTGCCTTCCCTTTGGTCGGTAGTTCAAAATTAGGGACGCCAGGAGCTAGCTTTAGTAGCTTTACAAACAAACAAAAACGCCTCGTCTATCATTTCAAAATTAGGGATGACTAGCGCAGATAGCCCTTGTGTAGCTTTGTGCGAATATCTGAAAATAACAAATCTTTGTATGAGTTTAAGTTAAAAATATCCAAACAGTTAAGTTGTTTTCGCGTTAATATGAATTATAAATCACTGTAGCTTTCATCGAACTGTAACTGTGTGTTGAAGGAGTTAAATGTAATGCATTATCAACAACAACAACAACAAAAAACACTTAAAAGAATTATAAACGAATAGAGAAAACCATTGTTGGCGTGATATAATGTTGTAACTATCAAATATATCTCCAAAATGTTGAGAAATAAATAAAAAATAGTTACCTACAAGTATGATGTCAATATCAATAATTATGATAGGCCTTTTCTTCTTGTTTCTCAACAGTTATGGTATCGACATTGTTTTAGTGCCAAAGCAATTCCACCCACTCATTTCGTTTCTTTACTTTAACTCATATAAAGTAGTATTTTTGTTTTTTTAAATAAATTATTTCTCTTAGATCTAGTGAAAATGAACGAAATGAAATTGGGTAAACTAAATTGATTCGTTATTTTAAATGAACGAAATGAAATTGGGTAAACTAAATTGATTCGTTATTTTAAATGAACGAAATGAAATTGGGTAAACTAAAATGATTCGTTATTTTAAATGAACGAAATGAAATTAGGTAAACTAAATTGATTCGTTATTTTAAATGAACGAAATGAAATTAGGTAAACTAAAATGATTCTTTATTTTCAGGTCCAGTGAAATAAATACACTCGTATTATCAGTCAGTAACAGATTTATCTAGATAGTGTAAAACAATAGTGGTTCGAGAGAGGACATGGTGTACACTGACCATCTCACAGATCAAGCAGGAATGGAAGATCTAGACGGTTCAGCTCCATCGCCTATCACCCCAGACCCGACAGGGGCAGGGGCTGTTCGGAAGTCCCCATCCATCAAGGTGATGTATCCCTTTACTCATCAAGTGGGTGGCCACACGCAGATGCTTTTGCTCGAGCGAGACACTCTCTGTAAGCCCCTCATTCAGCGGGAACTCCACTTCTACCTGAATGTACCCAGAGAAATGCAATATTTCGTTCCCTGTTACAAAGGTGAGAAAATCAAAATTCTCGGAGGTGATTGCAACCCAACTGAAAATCAGTTGAACATCAGTTGTATTGATGCATGTTTGAAGTAACATTTGTTATATCACTTTGAAAAATACTAAGCCGATTTGCCCTAGTCATTTTATACTTGTCCGAAAATATATGTTAAACAAAAGTTCCATATCAAAGTATGTAATCAGTTCTATCTGCCAAAATACATAAGTTGAAAATCTATTTGGCGTGAACAGGTATAATTTACACTTTTTTGACGAAAAAGAAATGTCCCCATTTACTTTGCAGAACTAGTAAAACGTATTTCTCAATAATTTACTTGTATAAAAACTAGTCACTATTTTAGGTGGAATAACCCGTATCTATGACCCAGTTCAAGAAACTGTCCCTCCCCTTTTGAAACAGAAGTTATGCTGTTGATTATGTGAGACATCATTTTATAAGATTAAATTTAAGAAGAAATGAATACAGTTCATTTTATTATCTATGGCTAAAGTAACTACCAAATTTATAGTTAGCTGACGCTCAAATTTGAATGAATGCACTTCACTCGTGTCCCCTGGTGGGACAACGGTAAGCTTTCGGATTTATAACGCTAAAATCAGGGGTTCGGTTCCCCTCGGTGGACACAGCAGATAGCCCGATGTGGTTTTGCTATAACAAAAACACACGCATTTCGGTCGTTATTCTGTAATTTTTGTTCATTCTATAGTTTTAAAATTTAATCGTTTTCAAAATGGAGTTTTATAATTTATTTATTTTAATAGCTGTTATGTGGTTTTAGAAATTGTGTAGAATGTGGTTTTCTTGTCGTTACGTAGGTGTAATCAAGGTTAGACACGTAGACAAAAGTCCTACCTGTCTTCAGACTAACAAGACAAGTATGGCTCCTTCCAAAAAAAGCAACCAGAAACAAAACAATAACAGTATAGAAAAGTGGCACTGTGAGACGGAGCAACAATATAGGTTAGTTATTGATATATATTATAAGTTCCTGTCTAGAATTTATTTTAAGACCATGCTGGTAATCCAGGGATTAAGAGGTACCCCATTCTGTTAAGAACGTCTGTTTTAATACAACGCCCTAATGAGGTGTTTCACTCTTAGCTTTACGCTGTCCATTCTAGAGAAGAAACATAAAACTGTGAAGTATGTAAAGCAGCTAATGACTTTGATGGACAAAATTTACCTTCTTTAAGTTTATTACATAACAATTACGCCAAAATGGCGTTAATCAATGAGAATAAATCCTAATTTCTAAAGAATTGCACTAAAAAAAGCCTTTGTTTGTTTTATTTGAACGTAAAACTGCACAGTGGGTTGTCTCAGGCTAGAACTAACCAAAGTGCACTCGTTGCACAAGCACAGTGGTCCCAGCTCAGAGGGGGACTTCAGACCATCTTTAAAGAGTACCTGAACGACATTCGAGAAGGATAGGTGTATCTGATAGGAAGAACTAGCCCAAATTTACAATACACATAAGCATCTTTGCTCATTCATGTTTTATGGTGACTGCCTATCTACAACTTCAACGGGACAGGATACAATAATTTTTGTAAACAATTATATTTACAGAAATAAAAAAAAAAATATTTGCACTGTGAGTGGTGCTTGTGTTTTTTTCCTTTGAGAAAAACTAACTTTTTATAATACAGGGGAATGTTCTGATTTTTACAAGTGTATATCATATAATCTGTCTAGTTTAATAAGGAAATCAAAATGTCTAAGGTGCACAGGGCCCCAAAATTCATTAACCCGTAACTGAGCTGTCTGCGGCAACAGAAAAAGTAAATCATTATTTAAAAAATTGTTTTGAAAAGAGATTAAAACTGGATACATTTTACCATTGTGTTTAATAATGTTGAACTATAATAATTTGTTTTCTAAGCGTAAACTATATGGAATATTGCAATTTATATATACGTTTATACAGTTATGGTTCAGCCGGACACAGTTTACACGTAACTGTTTGTTGTATTGGGTTATTCTTATTTTGTACTGTAGTAATTTACCTACAAAACCGATTAATTCAGGGATTCTCAGCTTGACTTGACGCTCCCAGTAATACATATATTTATATACACAGTTATGACGTATAAGATTATGTTGTTTTTTCGTGAACCACAATTCTGTCCGTTTTCTGTACTGTGCATCACTGCGCGAAACTCGGCTTTGAGTTAGTTTCAGTATATGATTTTTCCTTAATTAAAATAAGATTTAGAAACATAACTTTTGTATATATATATATATATATATAT